TAATATAACTGCCATGGTTTCTGGGTCATGCCTACAGAACTCCATTGTTAAGTATATAATAATTTTATTATTTCTCGTTACTAATATGATCAAGTTATAGCTTTGACACTGCTTTATGATCTTGTTGAATAGACTTGAAAGACTTCCTCTGACTGTTTTTTGTTTACTTGGCTCAATTTTAGATTGTATGTTAAATTTCCGTATTTTTATTTAATTTAAAGTATTGAATCCTCAATAGTTAATGAATAGAACCCTCTCTATCTTGTTAATATAAGAAGCCGGATTTTTATCAACTCTGGGTAAAATTGTACAACGTAAGTATTATTTAGTTGTAGTAAGTTCACTATTCATTATAACTATATTGTTTTGCTCAAAGTTTTGTATTGTATTCTACGATTCCCAAAAATATAAGCATATACTACTTTAATATAGAATAATATCTATGTAATTTACTCTCCATGAAGGACTAAAACCCAAATTTTTCGATTCCAGTCGAGAAGTGTCAATTTATATTTCAAACGGTTTTATGTGTTTAATGTTTTTTTTTTTTTTTTTTGTAATATTAACTACCATCTAAGGTCAGAAATTTGCCACTGATATATATTACATAACATTATATATACATTATTATATATAATGAGGTTTTAAGCACAACATTATTAACCTCATTTTACTAATAGCAACCAAAATGGGTTATGCACAATCTATCTAGTCACTATTTATATCAGTATTTTACATAATTCCCTCTTACTACAACAATTTATTATGTTGTTAACATATTTTGGCAATCAGTGTATGCATCTGTCAGCATAACTCTATTGTGCTTTTACCATACCCAGTTTTAGTTATGAAGGTGATAATAATAACATGATAGGTATGAATGATACCATAATTAATTTTACTGAATAAATCCATTTTTATTTTATTTTTTAATTATTACTTCACATATTACTTATTTTTAACTTGTCATAACTCTTTAATATCTTACAATAGAAAATTATTTCCTATAATTATTTTTAAATTTCTTTTTAATTGTTTAATTTACCACTGTTTTAATAAGTGAAATATGTAATTTTTATATTTTCCCAGATTGATGTTTTATGTACAGCTGCAGGCCATTAATGCATTTGCAACTCATCATTCTATTTAAAACCTAATGATGCTAAAAATTCTTTCTTTCTTGTTACTTAGGTTATATTAAATTACATAAAACAGCTCGAATGCAATAATGTGCCTATGTTTAATTTGAATTAATTAATCATGGTCTCGATTTTAATTTAATTGCCTATCAGCCGAAATTTCTCCATATTATTTTATCGTCTTGTTATATTAATTGTTATATAATAATTATTATATTATATTCGTTTTACTATCTCAATAATAATAATTTATCGTTTACCTTCTATACCAAGTTTTTTAATTATATTTTGTTAATTTTTTAAAATTGACAATAATCTAAGTCATGAAACATTTTACAGGCTATCTGTTGTCTTTTTATTATTCTTTTAATAATTTAACAATATATTGTAATTCAATCTGATGCTTACAATACTATTTTTGTTTTGCATATCTGTCAAATCTGGTTTCATTCGCAACATGTGAAGCCAAATATATCACAAGGGATATAATTTAAATAATAGGTTTGGTTCAATCTTTCAGATTTTTCTAAACAGCCTATAAATGCTTATTTTTTACTCACTTTTTGCTTACTTATATTTTATGTGTATTTAACTTGTAACCTTTAGATATTTCATATCAAGGTAAAACAGTTCTCATATCACATTTTTTCTTATTTTCTTGTCATATTATCCATCCATCCATTACAGTCTATATAAGTCCACAGCTGCACATAGGCCTACCAACACTCAATGCCTGATAGAGGGGTGTCATATTATGTAGCTTTTTATTTTTTATTTTATGTGTCTACAAAATAATATGTAATAATAAACTGTCTTTATATTTAAAAATGCATCTATTAAATCCCATTTATTTGGGAATTAACAATTTTAAGGACTAGTAAACTGACTCTCCCTTACACACCGGATAATTTTGTCCCAGAATTCAGTTATTATTTCTAACTTGTTCTGCCAATTTTTTGTGGATGTTAAAGGTTTACATAACCTTAATAATCTTATGAGTTAAGTTTATTTATAGCACTTATTTCTTTTCATAATCAGGATTTTCTGATACTAAAGAAAGTTTAGTTATAATCTCAGGGTATACAACTAATCTCAGGGTTTATAATTTCCGGGTCTGCTGCCCCAATTTTCTGACTGATAATGGCGACTGTCCAACGTAAGTAAATGAAAGTAATAAAAACATTAATATATATCACTTAAAATTTCTCAACGTATCCCTGTACAATGTATCTCAACCCACAATTATAGGTTAAAATACCTATTTACTATTTCACAATATATGAGTGACGAGGTTATGTTATTAACCCTTAATAGTGAAATTGTTCGATAATACTTGTTAATAAATGGGCACAGTGAATCTAATTTTATTATTTAGGTAATAAATGTTTTAACTTTATTTATTTTATATACACGTGCACCTACCTCGAACAATAGGATTTTTTGTTTACCTTTGATCGGTTAGCTCCATTTTGAATATCTTCCTTTCCCATTTTCCCAAGTACATAATCAAATTATTACCACGCAGATACGTAATAAATTTATTTGTAGTAGGTTTTGGATACAAAATATTTGATTTTACACTAAACATATTTAATTTTTACAACAAAAATTATAAAACACACTGTGACAGCTGGCACAAAAAAACGCAATGAGGTTGCATTGACGGACGGGTGGATACAGTGTTGCCAGATATACTGCTTTAAAATTTTTTTTAGTGAGCTTGGATAAATTGTGATGCTGGCATGGAATGCGGCGTACTACAATTGTTAAGAATGTCTAGGACAAGGAGGGAGTATAATTCCCTATATGCTTAGCATATGTTATTACTATCCACAAATCACAAGGCCCATGAGTTTTTTGCCCATGAGTGATCCACAATTTTTTTTGCGAATTTAAGGATTTTTATAGGACAAATACAAATTCTTTATTTGCAACTAAATAGGTACAAAATGTTTTCTTCTTGATGTTATCACTGTTATTGTGTTAAGAAACCCTATTTAGCTGTTTGCAACAGCATGCAAATATTCAATAATTTTAATATAATAAATTTCATCTATATAAACAAACTAAAACGTCATTTTACAATCTTTATAAATAAATAAATTCACACACACACATACAATATATATATATATATATATATATATATATATATATATATTACTGTATAAAATGCTTTATCTACCAGCCATCGTCGAAGTGACATTTTAAACTTATTATAAGGTAATTACTTAATATGTGAGGGTATTTTGTTATATATCGTGTTACACATTGCATAGATATTTTTTTGAAAGCGCTTACTTTTTGGAATTGGGTCAAGTACTAGTTTATGTGGGTTCCGTAAATTTATTTTTGTTGCATCTTTAGTTTGTAAGAATAAGTGCTTGTTTTGCATTACAAATTTGCCTACCTCAAATATATAGAGGCAGGGAAAAGGAAACTGGCAATGGGCCGCATATAGCTCGAAGAACCAACGATGGGGAGAAGGTTCTCGTGGGGGGTGGGGTGGGAAAAGGAAGTATGTTTAAACTCTTAAAGTAAGGCTTGCATGACGTGTCTGATGGGATGTTACTAATAGCTCTGATACAGCGCTTTTGTGCTAAAAATACTTTTTGAGAGTCTCTGACATGACAAAGGGTCGTCTAAAAGGGCAGAACAACGTCTGCCTGGCAAGCTAGTATAGGTATATATAGAGGTATAGTTTATATTATGTTAAATTATATATTTATATATATGGGTATAGTGATGGCTGCGTCCATCTTATAATAATGTTGCTGCATTCGAATAACTTTTGCACTTGTCCTTGTTTGCATATCGTCGGCCTAATTCGTTAACCTGCTAAGTCCATTTTTGGCAAAATTTGCTTTTTATACCAGTCAAAAAGTTCAGTCTAATATCTTTCGTAACGTTTAGAGAATAGCAGCGATATTAGCCTAAAAAGGTGACAAATGCTATGCCCGAAAAACTGCTTTTTGACCAACAGCCAATCTTCACAACGCAAATCTGCTAAATCCTATTGGGACCTCAGTTTTACAATCAAAACGTTCCCAAACCCCCTTGCCGCTTGCGACGCGTCAAGTTTTGTCGTGTTTTAGTCATATATTTGAGGATTTAATTTATTTTGTTTTTATTTTTTTAGTGTCCAAATCAAATGTTTTTCATCACATTTAAGTCCCAACCTAAACATAAGGGACTTAACAGGTTTACGAACTATATTATTTTATTTGTACACGGATTTAGCATTTTATCAATTTAATATTTTTTTATTAACTTATTGCTTAATTAAAGATAATTTCGAAGATGTTACTCATTAAATAAATTATAAAACAAAGTATGTATACACAAATAAACTGTTAAGTTAAAGTCTGTTTAAGGTCTGTATAAATAATAAATTTCACATATTTTGTCATAATTTTATTCTTCTTCTTATTCAATTTATTTGATTAAATAATGGTTTTTTCGATATTTTCAGAATGAATCGGGGGAAAAAATTGTGGCTTTGGTTTCTGGGGCTTGTAACTCACAGGATAGACCTGAAAAAGTAGCTCCGAAGTTAAATTATCATCCAAATAAAGTAGTACACGTTTTGGAAGATATTCAGTTACAATATTCAAAACCAAGAAAGTCTATACCAGAACCTACAAATTCAGTTGCTGACAAAACTTATTATGAGATAAATGACAATATCAATATAACATCACTGACTGATCTAGATCTACCAAATACTTTTATTAAAGAAAATATAAATCATATAATTTGTTCTGACATTACATTTCCCAATACTACATTCAATGACGTGCCTTTAGACGATAATTGTCCACGGTTTATGATATTCACAACACTTTCACGGCAGACGAGAATTTGATTACAATACCATCACAAATTGAAATAGAATCACAATCAACAAATATTTTGATCTCAGACAACATACACAATTCCGATGCGGATACCATTCAAACATTAGGTAATATAATATCTCATGAAACAAGTACTAGTTCTTTAGAAATTATAACTCATGTTGAAAATACACATCATGTTATACCTAATCCACCAATATCGGATGGTAGCGATACAGAGAAAAAGCTTGTGCCTTATTCTGATTCTGACTCAGATTCGCTTGCTAAGATCAAAAAGAATAAGAAACGAAAGAAACGTTTTAACGTTGATAAAAAAGAAAAAGCTTGTGCCTTATTCTGATTCTGACTCAGATTCGCTTGCTAAGATCAAAAAGATTAAGAAACGAAAGAAACGTTTTAACGTTGATAAAAAAGAAAAAGCTTGTGCCTTATTCTGATTCTGACTCAGATTCGCTTGCTAAGATCAAAAAGATTAAGAAACGAAAGAAACGTTTTAACGTTGATAAAAAAGAAAAAGCTTGTGCCTTATTCTGATTCTGACTCAGATTCGCTTGCTAAGATCAAAAAGATTAAGAAACGAAAGAAACGTTTTAACGTTGACAAAAAAGAAAAAGCTTGTGCCTTATTCTGATTCTGACTCAGATTCGCTTGCTAAGATCAAAAAGATTAAGAAACGAAAGAAACGTTTTAACGTTGATAAAAAAGAAAAAGCTTGTGCCTCATTCTGATTCTGACTCAGATTCGCTTGCTAAGATCAAAAAGATTAAGAAACGAAAGAAACGTTTTAACGTTGATAAAAAAGAACGGGTTAGCGAAAAGAATAAACAAAGAAGACAAGAAGGTAAAACATATTTTGGGAGAGAGAAAAAGCAAGACTGTTGGAATTATAATAAAACTAAAGAAGCACGTTATATTAAATCAAGATGCTCCTGTAAAATTGGGAAGTACAGTACTTTAAAATGTGAAACAGTAGATGAAGATGTAAGAAGGAGCATATTTAATCGATTTTGGAATCTTACATGGGGCTAAAAAAACCCTAGTGAACGAATGAGTTACAACTATTCCAATTGTCCGGCCACGAAATCGAAATACCGAAGAGACAACCACGAGGGCTAACACCTTTGTTTATCATTTAAAAGTAAATGATAAAAGTGTCAAAGTATGTCGAAAGATGTTTTTGAACACATTGGACTTAGGAAGATGGACGGTTCAAAATTGGAAGCAGGAGTTTTCAATGCGCCCTCCTAGTACATTGAGACGTCCAACACAATTATCTGAATTGACTTCGAAGCCGAAACAATCACTTATTCAGTTTCTGGAGTCTCTTCCCGTAATGGAATCTCATTATTGTCGATCAACGTCACAGAAGTTATATTTATTGCCAGAATGGAATTCCAAAGAAAGCCTCTACCAATTTTACGTTAACGATTGGTGTAAAGAGCGAAATATTAAAGCTCTCTCCATAAGTTTGTTTTAGAATTTATTTGAAGACAAAAATTTGGCCTTATTTAAGCTGAAAAAAGATCAATTCGAAAAATGGGCCTGTTATAAAGTAGGAACAGTTACAGAAGAAGAATACAAAGAACATATTGAGAGAAGTAAACAAGCAAGAGAAGAAAAATATGCGGATAAAAAGGGAGAAAATTACGTTTTCACAGTGGACTTACAGGCTGTACTAATGGCACCAAAATCGAATGTCAGTACGCTATACTATAAAACGAAGCTGTAAGTGCACAACCTTTGCTTTTTTAATATAAAAAATAAAGATGGCTTCTGTTTCATATGGAATGAATTAGAAGGTGGACTTAATGCTGAAGAATTTGCCTCCATTTGGGTTGACTTTATAGAAAACAAAATAATACGTCCTGAAGTTAATGCTGAAGATGGGGAAAAAACAATTATAATTTATAGTGACGTTTGCACATACCAAAATAGAAATTGTATTTTATCTAACGCTCTTTTGAACATTGTCATGAGGCACAAAAATTTAGCTAACGAACAAAAATTTTTAGAGGTGGGTCACACCCAAATGGAGGCCGCTTCAATGCATTCCACTATAGAACGTCAGCTTAAGAACAAGGTCATAAATGTGCCAGCTGAATACATATCTATTGCTAAGCATGCTCGTAAATGCCCAGTACCCTATTATGTAACATATTTGGACCACACTTACTTCAAAAACTTCGACAAAATTCAGTTTTATAAAAGTATTCGCCCAGGAAGATCCAAAGGGGATCCTAAGGTCACTGACATTCGTGCACTACGTTACGAAAGCAATGGATCAATTCTTTATAAAACTTGCTATAAGGATGAATGGCAAAGTTTACCACAAAGACGATCTTTGCAATGTAATCCTTGCGAGATTACTCAACTATCTCAATTGTATCAGAACCGACGTAAAATCACTGCACGAAAATTTGAAGACTTGCAGCAAATAAAAAAGACCCTTCCTTCTGAATATCATAAATATTATGATGACTTGCCTCATGAATAAAATAAGAAGTACTAATAATTAGATTTAAAGTAAAATTACAACTTTACTTTACTTTACTTATTGTTAATTTAAAATTATTGGAAAATTGTTTCTGTTTTATCTTAGTATTAATAATAATTGATTGTGATACCTGTAGTAGTAAAACAAGTTTAAATGCTTGTCATTAATAATAATAAGATACTTAGGACAACTCGTAATGCCACGAAAGCACCACATAATCACGTATATTAAAACTGTTACAGATTTGTTATGAAAAGATTCTATCTTAGATATTATAACCCTGTTTCCTATTAAAGAAGACTGATTGTTTAATTTTTAATAATAAATAGTTCGATTACTGATTGAATGTGTTTCACTACGCAATTCATTAATCTATACACCATACTAAATTAAAGACAAAAACTGCTAAGTCCTCAAGTAAATTGAAACTTCACATCGAAAAACTGCTAAATATTTTTTTTCTTGAATTTTATAAAATGTGTATAAGTTATACTACTAATTATATTTTCAAAATATCAAAAAAAAAAATAGAGACACTAACGGGATTTTCAGAATTTTGATTGCTAAATTAATAAAGATATTATTTAGTTTTTTCTTCGTCCTGTAAACTATGAAAATATGGACTTAGAAGGTTAACGAATTAGGCCGACGATATTTAATAAAAAATAGGTATAAAACTGAGGCTGTTTTCATGTAGACATATTATCAAGGTCCCAATATTGAATAATATCTTCAATTATATTATGGTTATATGTGGTGGAGCCATGCTGCAGTTATATTAATAGTATAGTTGTAACACGAATGTGTCGGCTCGACCGGGGAAGGACCACTCTCTCACAGAATACCAGCATCAAATAGTAGGTTTATGCTGCTGTGTTTCGTATGGTGAGTGTAGAGAACTGGAGACCCTTTTTACTGGAAACGAGGCATTCCAACTTAGTCACTGACCGTTTTGATAAACAATAAAATTCAATAGGGTTGTCGAGTTCCTTGTCTATAATACTTATCTATGTTCTTTCCTACTCACATCTGTTAACATTCAAAATCGCCAACAACGGATGATTATCAAATGTTTATTTAATTAACAGGTTTCCAACTGAACCTAGACTAAAATTATGGCTTAAAAGCATAAGTATTGTCAATTGGCGTCCGAAACAAAATGATCATATTTGTTCCAAACATTTTACAGACGACTGTTTTATTAGACATGAGAACTGCACCACTTTGAAAAAGTGCAGTATACCGACAATGTTTTCTGGTACCAGTAACCAGTAAGTATAAAAGTATTAGATTATTATTTCGAATGTTTTTTTTTATTTCTTCTTTCCTCATTTTCAACCAAACTCAAGGGCCATAGACAAGTGTCGAAAGATCGCCTGATGATGTCGAACCACGTTAGATGTGTGTTAGTGGGCTGCGGCTAGAGGAGATTCCTCTCCCAGGACCGCTGTAGTCGAGCTGGAGTCGTAAGGGATGAGGAGTGTTGGTATGACGATGGGCGATGCGCCACTCGACTATTTTTCGCGACTTTGGTGAGGCTGCACCATTTGCTGCTTCCAAGTGCTCGTTTTTTCCTGGCTCCGTTCACATTTCGGGCTCGGGGAGTCCGTAGTGCAGCTCGTATCTCTATAAATGTTTCCTCGGTTTAAGATCTTTGTAGAATATTTAGAGACGATACCAGGAGACCCGACGGTGTTGGTTTAGTTGCTTGAGAGAGAGAGATAAAGCTTTAGTGTGGAATACTACTTGCGAACACTTTGACAGCATCCCATCTCAGGGGTACCTCGTCTAAAGCAGGGGTGGCATTAGAGGCAACTGAGCCAAGTAAATAGCCCAGAGTATCTGGAAGATAAGTACATATTTTGCAATTTGCTGTAGAGACTATTGGTCCGTAGGGTGCACGTGCGGTGTAGTTCCTAAAAAACTGTATCTGCGACTGATCATCGCTGCTGGTAATAAGAAGTTGTTTCCTCGCTTGAAGGCTAAGTATAGCCATTCAGTGAGGACACGTAGCCAGCATTTTTAGGATGATACCACAGAAAATAGGACTTTATGATAATTTCAGTTATTTTTTTTAAATATTGTAATTTAAATTTCGAAAATGACGTTGTAAATAACTGATTACTATGTAATTCAAAGTTTATATTTTTTTTTGTATAATCGTACCGGCGTAAATAAACCCGGCGCATTGCTGCCGCAGAAGAAATAATTGTGGAAATATCGTTAAAAATGTGGAACAGTTATATTGTATAATTAGGAATGATAATACAATCATTGAAATAGAATGATATATAACTTTCTATAACTTTCAAATAAATAGTCAGTATAATACGCACGCCACCTAGTGTCGCTTAATTGTACCATGCGTATAACCTTCGCACAAGTGCAACCAATAAGTTGACTCAGTTTGACTGCAATCTGATGAACGGTATGGCATCGTAGAAAGTACGAACAAACATAAATTTATTATATAATAGAAAATATGTAAGAAGAATAGGCGTTATTATAGCAGCTGATTTGTTTTTTATAATGCTAGAACTAAATGAACGGTTGACAATAAGTCATTTTAGAAATTATGTTTTTATTTTTATTTTCTGTAGTTCGTTTAATCTTAATAATTTTTTGGTTGAATGGTTAAGGGCTATGATGGCTATCCGAGTACAGAACCAGACTACAAAACTAATCCAACTGTAGAGAGGTGTAAGACGGGGTGACGTTATAGCCCCGAAACTCTTCACCACTGCATTGGAAGACGTTTTCAAGCTACTGGACTGGAAAGGATACGGTATTAACATCAATGGCGAGTATATCACTCACCTTCGATTTGCCGACGATATAGTCCTTATGGCAGAATCGCTGGAGAACTTAAGCAATATGCTCAATGACCTCAATATTGCCTCCCAATGGATGGGTCTTAAGATGAACATGGACAAAACAAAGATCATGTTTAATGTCCATGTCACACCTATGCCGGTAGTTGTTGGGAGCCCTAAGCTCGAAGTTGTTGACGAGTACGTTTACCTGGGACAAATAGTCCGATTAGGTATACTTCGACCGAGAGGTCAATCGACGGATTCAACTCGGCTGGGCAGTGTTCGAGAAATTACGACACGTCTTCTCGTCAGGCCTTTGTTCAGCAGTAGACTTGTGAAGAGTTTTAATGATGATGAATGATAATGGCATTATATTAATATGATACATAAATAGAATGGACGTTACGGGTAGAGTCCATCTATCAATAGAGTCCATTATATTTATTTAGGTATAGGTATTTTTATCGATATAATTTGGTACACTGTCTTATCCCTATTATTAGTTCCGTGGACGTGCACTTCTGCTGTCAGCGCCAAAATGGCGGAAATCAAATCGCTTCAACATGTCACGGTGTATATCCAGTCCAGCGTACTTGTATATATAGAGGTCAGTGATCTTAGTCCTCACGGGTGACAACGCATCTGCATTTTGATTCGTAATCGAGGATAGATGTAGATGTCTATGGGCCACACCAACCACTTACCGTCAGCTGGACAGTGTGTACCTATCCTATAAAAAATATTGATATATCGGTATGTAAGTACGGCGTTTTACCATGTATCGTCATGTTGGTATAATGTTGTATCGATATATCGTCATATAACTGTATCAGTATGATAATGTGCCGGTGTATCGGTTGTATTGGTATGTTGGTATAATGACGTATCGATATATCGTCATATAACTGTATCAGTATGATAATGTGCCGGTGTATCGGTTGTATTGGTATGTTGGTATAGTGATGTGTCGATATATCGTCATATAACTGTATCAGTATCGGTTGTATTGGTATGTTGGTATAGTGATGTGTCGATATATCGTCATATAACTGTATCAGTATGATAATGTGCCGGTGTATCGGTATGTCGATATGTCAATGTGTCGCGCGGAGTGTACCTGCGGCTGCGGCTGCGGCGTGGCGGCCAGGCGCTGCGGCCCGGGCGAGTAGCCCTGCGAGCGCGGCGACGCGTACACTCCTCGCGGAGAAGCGTACGCGCCCGGGGACGCGTAACCGCGAGACATACTCATACCCGACACGTCCATAGGACTCTCCATGCCGCCGCCTGAAAAATATAATCAAGAATGAGAACAAACCAAACCAATTTCACTGCGTCAAGAAATAAATGATAATAAACCAATTTCAACCGCTGGCAATTGTCGAGATTACGTAAATGACACAAATGACACTTTTGGTCCTTCGAGCGCGATAAACCAGAAGCACCGGTAGTCACCACCAGCCTGTAAAGTCCACTGTACACGGACCTTTCTCACACAATAATGTGTTATTTTTTTGTTTGTTGTTTTGGTTTGTTTTATATAAATTCTCAATTATGATTGTATAGTAGGGCCAATTTTATAGATCACATCTGAAATCTGTCAGTTTTAGCTTTATAGTGAGGTGACCTGTTTAAATACATCGACTAAACTGAATGCGATTCATTCATTATTCATACGGACTTCAAACACTTTCAACACTTCAAACATTTTTTTAAACTAAATCCAATCGATTTTAAAATCTTAGCTAGAAACGATTTACCACCAAAAAATAAGCCTACCTCTTTTAACTAACCCAATAGCTTTTTCCGAGTAGTATATTATTTTCTCGAGTAACATCCATAAATGTGATTGCGAATTGCAGCAGCATCAAAATTATCAACACCAATAATTTTCTTGTCCCCCTCTTCTTTTTTTCGGTGTACGTAAAGTATTATGTTCTAACCCTTATGGTCCGTATTTCTCTTTGATAATTTATGTTACTGTTCTCTTCACTATTCCCAATCCATCGGCAACACATTCTCTCGGTTGTGTCAATGGTAAAAGAGGCGCATCGCTAACTGATTCACGTTCAAAATAATTGTACAATGTCACCCACTAGTTCGCGAGATTGACTCTTTAGCGTTTTTCCTCGTTTCGACGTGGTAAAACAAAACTATTATTCTTTTTTATTAATCGTAAAGCAATCGGAGTCCAATTTATAGTCAGGTAAACGTCAGAGTAAGATCAGTCCAATAAAACGTGGGGTCAGAAGAAAATAACAGAGCACACCATAAAAGCATCCATAGCCCTAATCCAAGAGCCAAGGGTTGGGACTGGTAAAATTAAAGGCCTAAATAACCTAAGAGGTAAGTTATTCTACAACTCTGAGCACGACAAGCCTAGAGCGTGTATTTATACTACTAAAGATATCTGTGCAAAACCACTAACAGATTTCTGTTCCAGAGACATGTATGCCGTAGCATTACAAAACACAAAGGAGAAAAGGTTAGTCGTCGTCTCGGTCTACATGCCTGAGGAAGACACCCCTCCCCCTCACGACCTCGTCAGGCTGGTGAATTTCTGTGAGAGGGCCGGACTAGAGGTTGTGATCGGAACGGACTCCAACGCGCATCATCCTCTTTGGGGAATGGAAAAACCTAATAAACGAGGTAAGGTTTTAGTTGAATATTTATTTAGCACTCACCTAACCATATTAAACACTGGTTCTGAACCAACCTTCATAAATAAACGCTGTCGCACAATAATCGACCTCACACTTGCAACAGAAGGAGCAGCTAAGCTAATAACGGGATCGAAAGAGGCCTCATGCTCAGACCACAGATGATCTGCTGCGTACTACAGGTCGATATTCCCGCTATACCACCATGGAGAAATCCCCGCAAGACGGATAAAACAAAATACCTCAATAGGCTAAAGTCTTCGCTCGCGGGTGTTGGGGGAACTAATACCAGGGGTGACCAACTTGAATAGATCCAAGATCTACTGTTTACTAAGGAAGCCCTGTGCGATCTAGCAGTTACATACTTCTTGAAATCTTAAATGAAACAGCATAGTTCAGTACACAATTAAGTAGTATTTTTTTATTGAATAAAACTATTATTTACGGATTTTATCACGTTTAATTACTTTAATTTATTTTTATTATTATCCCGACGTTTCTTAGTATTTTTTTATTTTATTAAGAAGGAATAGAATACATAAAACTGAAAATTATTCTTAGTAACTGAACATCTTCCGCTAAATTAGCAAAATCAGGTTTGCAGTTGGAAATTGCCAACCTTAAAGAATCCAGTGTACCTATAAGCATCTTTCAAGCGATAACGGTGTTTATTTTTTGTTTGTTTTAAGTAAGAAAATGCGGACTCACATAAATATGTTGAACACGAATACAATTGTTCAACACATTTCTTCAAACTTAGATATTTCTCGTTGGAAACCAATGCCCAGAAATAGAGACCTGAGGATGACCTTGCTTTTAGAAATATGTCGCATCGCAGAGTAATAATTTAGTTTTGAAGTATTATGTGGTCCATTTGAAAAGTGTCTGCAAAATTTGTAACCATTTCTTAGATATCACTGTGTTTAAGGGAATTATTAAACGGTAAATGATGAATTCTACCAACTTCTCAATTTTTTTTAAATTATTAAAGAGAATTTTGAAGTCTGATACCACTGCCTTAATTTCTGCCGTGTACTTGTCAGGAATTTTTTTGTAGGTAGAATGTTTTTCCATATGATCCTTGATGTTTACAAATTGTTGAATTTTTTTCTTTTCGATGTCAACTATCACAGACGCTGTTTGACTTTGAAATGGTGCAATAGAACTCATCATTTCTTTTACTGTTTTATTCTAGCCTTGTAGTAGTCCCAGATTTACTGTGCTCAGTTTTCCAGTAAAATCTGCTAAATCACATTGCCAGTTTAAATCACTCAATTCTGATAATTTATCACATCTCTCTTTAAGAAATTTTATTATTTCGTCCACTAGATCTCGAAATATTTGCAAAAACTTGCTTCGATTCAACCACCTTACGTCCGTGTACAATGCCAAATCAGGTTTCTTCTCACCTAATTGCTGTTTAATGAGCCGCCTTTGGAGAGTTTAGTGTTTAGTCTCTTACTAGCCAGTACTTTTTGATGAATTATGCAGTGGTAGCTAATGAAGTCCGTAAAATCTTCGTCTTTGTGACAAAGAGCAATAAAACGATTATGAATATCTGACATTGCAGGAGCCTCATCAGTTGTCATTGATACGAGTTTATACAAAGGTAGCCTAATCTGGCTAATATATGCTTTGAATTCCGTGAATATATCAAGGCCACGAGTTTTTTCTTTTAAGAAAATCATACTTAGCAGTTTTGTTTTCGTCGCGAATCTTCAAAGACCATCCGAATAAAAATAAGTAATTGTGCAGTATCAGTGATGTAGCGAAAAAGCAACACAGCGGACAATATCTTTTTTTTACTTGTTCGTTTATGTTTTTACTTATCGTTTCTATACGGCGCATCACTGTATATCAAGACAGTTGTAAACCATGAATAGATTCCCGTTTATTTTTCACCGCGTGCCAAAAACAAAAGTGAGCTATACTGAGTACAGGGGAGGATAAATAACGTGACAGAACTAGAGAATAAATAATGTGACGGAACAGCGATTAAAAATTACAAAAGATAATGCATGCAGCGGTTGGTGATTACGTTCCGCAGTCTGTTCTATAGTTCTACGTATTTATGTTTATATTTTTTGCCTTGCCACGATCGACTGGACTAATATTCGCGATCGACCGGTCGATCGCGATCGACTGATTGGCCACCCCTGCCATAGCAGATCAATCGCTCCTAGAAGAACAGGTAGCAGCTGTCACTAAAGATGATCGATAGCTACCATGAATCATGTCGAGTAATCACTCCACCAAAACATGCTGACCAAAAGCAGCAGTGGTGGGGTAAAGAACTAGACAGAAAACGTAAGAAGGTAAGAAAAGTCCTAAATAGGGCAATGAATACCTCAAAGGATGAAGACTGGCTTCTATATAAGAAAGCTAAGTCTGAATACAAAAAATGTATCAGGTATCGACGCTCAACAGGGTGGCGCAAATTCTGTGGTAGCATAGAAACCTGTGAACAAGCAAATCGGATAAGGAAAATCCTAGCTAAATTGAACACGCCGGGATCTATTTCTTTAAAGAAACCCGACGGAAGCTACTCAACATCGCCGGATGAAACCCAACGCATCCTAATTGATACTCACTTCCCAGGTTGCTGCGTAGTTGAAAGGGTGAACCGGCATGAAGATGCACTGACACCAACAAAAGAAGACTGGGAATTAGCACAAAGAGTGGTGACGATGGACAAAATCCATTGGGCCATTCATAGTTTCCAACCCTGTAAGGCAACAGGACCTGACGACTTATTCCCGGCACTTCTACATTGGGAGGGTAAATTCCTAATAGTCAGACTTGTTGCCATAATGAGAGCATGTCTGGCTCTTAAATATGTTCCTAGGAGATGGAGGCAAGTGAAAGTCACGTTCATACCCAAACCAGGTAAGAACGACTATACAAATCCTAAATCCTACAGACCTATTAGCCTCACATCCTTTCTCCTAAAGACGATGCAGAGGATGTGTAAACGGGAGTTGAGAGGGTCGGCGCTAATTAACTTACCGCTACACGTAAAACAACACGCCTATAGCTTAGGTAAATCAACAGAATCGGCACTTCACCAGGTAATAACAAAGATTGAAGAGGCCATCCAAAACAAAGCAATATGTCTAGGCTCCTTCATAGACATAGAAGGTGCTTTTGACAGAACAAATTTCTCCAGCATAAAAGGTGCCCTAAGTAGACATAATGTTGAACCGGCATTGATTGACTGGATAGTAAACATGCTCAGTACACAAACAATAAAGATTGCTGGTGAATTTCAGACAATTCAGATCATGAAAGGATGCCCGCAGGGTGGGGTTCTTTCACCTCTCCTGTGGAATATGGTCATTAATGAACTCGTCAGCAAATTAAATGCTAACCATTTCTACACAGTCGGTTATGCAGATGATCTGACAATACTGGTCTCTGGTAAGACAGCAAGTATTGTGTGCGACCTGACCCAAGCGGCTCTCCGTATTGTGGAGAGATGGTGCAGGGAATATGACCTAACCGTTAATCCAAATAAAACGGTTATAGTAATGTTCACACAAAAACGAATGCTGAATAACTATCATCTTCCAAGTCTTTTCAGCACAAAACTCCAACTTTCTTCCGAAGTAAAATACCTAGGTCTTACCTTGGATAGTAAACTTAACTGGAACAAACACATAGAAAACAAAATCAGCAAAGCTAGTTTAACTTTCTGGCAATGCAGAAACATGATTGGCAAACGATGGGGCTTAACGCCAAAAATTATACTGTGGCTGTACAAAACTGTAATTCAGCCCATGATCACATACGGCTCTCTGGTATGGTGGACCAAAACCAATGAAGCCATCACTATACAAAAGCTTCAGCGTTACCAGAGATTAGCTTGTATGGCTGCCACGGGCTGCATAAGGACTACACCAACAGCAGCTTTGGAGGCTATGCTGGAGCTAACACCGCTTCATCTACATAAACAACAAGAAGCAACTTTAGCTGCCATTAGACTCAAGACCCTAAATCTTTTAAGTAAGAGTAGAGTCCCCCATACAGATATAATCGATAGAATTTACTCAAAAATTCCTATCTTACAAGCCAAGTATGATAGGATTCCAAAACAATTTGTATTCGATAAGAAGTACAGGATACAATTGAAGGAAACTGACCATCTGGAAGGATTGGGTCCAAGAGAGCTCAAAGTTTTCACGGATGGCTCTTAGACAAATGAAGGTGTGGGGTCTGGGGCTTTCTCTGAAGACCTTAATATCCACATATGCACACCGCTAGGGTACCCACAACACAGTCTTCCAGGCAGCAGACGTAAAGTGAAATAAAATATGAACAGCCGCATCTTCCTAATAATATCTATGTGAGGCCGATGTTCACCAGAGCAATTTGATAGTCTGTATTAATGACTACTTTAAATGCTCTTTCTTATTATTAGCAACCTAAATTGCAAACAAAACAAAAAAATGGCACAGTTTAAACGGCAATAAGTCATCAAATTTAGACAAATATTTGTCAAGATTGCATAAAATTATAAAATGTTCTATTTTTTTTGCCTGTTAAGATCTACCTGAACATTATTATAATAATTATGATGTAAGCATTATGTAAAGTTACCAGTGTTCGGAGGCTGGTAGTAGGGCGAGCCGTCGGGCGGCATGGTCTGATGTGCTTGGTGTGGCTGGTGGGTCTGGTGTGGGTGCTGCTGGTGCGGGTGCTGGTGGTGCTGGTGGTACAGCAGCGAGCTCTGTGCCAGCGGCGACATCTGCTGGAAGTCGCCCTGGTGCGCCAGGAACTGCTGCTCGTGCCCCAGCGACGACATCGGCGTCAGCTGCTGCTGTAGCATGGGGTTGCTCTGATGACAAAACGCATTCAATCAATACTCACATCTGTATTAATACCTTTTAGAAAAACATGATCTTTTCTTAACCATCTTAGGATTCTGTACTCAAAGTTTAAAACGGAACACTATTATTGTTTATAAAATTGAAAAAGACGTTAAGTAAATTTTACAAATACAAAATTATGAACAAGACCAAATTGAATAAACAAGTGTTAACTCTGACTTTGATTGAAGTCAAACCTGTTTGCCTGTTTGTTACTCTTATTCTATAAAAAAAATTAAAAAAAGAAACTCTGCTGCCTGTCCGTATGTCACTAGATCGTAGACGAAATGAGCTGCAGACCTGGGATGTGGATATTTAGTATAGAATGTTGACCCAAAACTGAATATTCAAAAAATCTAAAATATTTTATTTCGTAACTACTTGTTTATTTTATTGGGACAAAAACACACAATATTGAATACATTTAATTTTTCGGATTTTATTGTCTATTATTTAATTTATCAGCGAGAAAGACCCCCTCCCCTCTGTAAGCACCCGAAACGAAAGAAACGAATTATAGCAAAGTTGACGAGTGATTGTAAGGATTTATAAATTATAGGTTAATTACTCGGCATAGTTTCCTTCACTCTCACAAATTGTGAAAATGTGTTAGACATGGAGATATTGAACACATAATAAAAATGTTAAATCAATACCACTATGCACCACATAACCTTATAAAGGTTACCGTTATAACCGCCTACCATGCATACGTCTCTTCAACATTGAGATATGGAATAATATTTTGGGAAAACTCCCCAAAACGCGAATTAATCTTTAAAGCGCAAAAGAAACGTTAACGAGCAGTATGTCAGTTGCAGGTTACCGATAGTTGCAAACCGCATTTCATTGATTTTAACATACTGATCATACCACCTTTGTATATATTCGATGTAGCTATGTTTGTTAGGAAACATTTTAGCATATTTGAAAACACTAATAATAAACATCATAGGAACACACTACGTACAACACCTCATAAAACAGCCCTGTATTTAAAAAGTTTCCTGGGTATGGCTCCCAAAATTTTTAATAAACTCCCAAAAAACATCAGAGACTGATAATATAGAAAAATTTAAGAAATTTCTTTCTGGTTTTATAATGAATAAAGCGTACTACTCTATCAACGAATATTTTGAAGATAAAATAAATGGTTTTTAGTACCTACCTACAATTAATTCCGATTATTTATTATATTTTTATCTTTATGTTATTAAGAATTGTGTAATTGATAATAATTTATGTAATTTCTAAATATACTAATTATAATTGAAATTGTTATGTGATTAAATATTAATATTTATAATGCCAGGTACCAAATATTAGTATGTCTTTTAAGATGAAACATAGTGTTACTTATCATACCTTTTCCACCAAGTTTGCAACTTTTTACCCATGTTTTACAAATAAATTATTTTGATTAGATTTGATTTGACATTATTTGAAAATATATACTTTGTAGATAGCAAAGCGACCTTATAAATAAAAAGAGTTAAGAAAATAGACGATCGTTTAAAGTCTTTAGAGGATCTCATGATAAAACCATATTGCTTAGCCTTTATTGATTAAGTAATCGATATGGTGATCTAAATGTAATTTCGAGCCCAGCATTAAACCAAGATCTCGGACTGTATTAAACTTTTAATGAAATTTAAAGAGATTTTTGTTCTATGGTAAAGATATTGCGATACATTTTGGTAGATTTATGTAAAATTTGTTATCTAAACAGTATTGCGCAAGTCTTTTAAGAATTTAAGATCTTCTCGAAGAATGTTTTGGCATTGTTTATAAATTTAAAAATCGTCGACATATATTAAAAAATGAGTATTATTGGTGAAATAGTCTGTAATATCAATTATGAATAAAATAAAAAGTAGGGACCCTAAAATTAATACTTGGGGTACACCGAAAGTGACAACTATAAAGTAAGCTTCAAAACTATATTGTATAACTCCAAAGCAGAGACTTTCAATTACCTACTTTATCAGGACACAAACACCTATAAATATGGCTATTTCATTGATTTAAAATGGGGACCTAACGTATGATGTGATTTCACAGTTTTTTTTATTTATTTTTATTTTTTAAGGAATATTAACAATGCTATAAACATTACTAATATTCCCCTTAACCACTCGTGGTAAGCTTAAATTGCTTGTGTTACGAGTGGTTCACACCAGTAGTCGAATGGCGGATTCGAACCCACGACCTTTTTGAGTTCGCGATCCACGCCCTGCCATTAGGCTACTGTTGCTTCAACACAGTTTCACAGTTTACTGGGAAAATAAAACAAAAAGGTACCAGATTAGAGTATTAAAAGACGAGATTTTGACTATGAAATCCTTCAAACATTTAAAATATGTATTGATAGTCTAAGTTTCTAGGATACATTTAATTCTTCGGATCCTAATACATCTTACGACGCTTTTTTGACATATTCAAATGCACTGCAACGCACAAAAATCCTTTCAATTCTAAACAAAATGGATATCAAACGAACTAAAGAGGCTTGTTTTAAAAAAAAGCAGAATATTTACTTTGGCACTTTAGGAGAAATAAAAGCAAAGATGCTCATCACTATTAAAAGAATATTCATCAAAATTAAGTAAAATAATAAACTACTATATAAATGAGTCGAAAAATAAAATGAAAGCAACTTGGTCCATTCTATATATCCAAAACAAGTATTCCCAAAGAACCAATGCAGAAGCTAAGAACAGGTAATGAATATCTTACTAACCCTATTCACATAATCACTAATGCGTTTAATGACTTTTTTATTGATTCTTTAAATAATTACATGTATAATAATAACAACGATTCTAATAATATTGTAGCTTTAAATCATTTCATTTCAATAATTATAAATCGCCATTTGTAAGCCCAACAACACCTGAAGCCTGACTCAGTGTGTAACATTATAAATAGTCTAAAAATACAAATAGTGTTGGTTTTGACGACGACGTGTATAAGAGTAATAAAACAAAAACAAAAATGTGATAAACAAAATCAACCATCGTCCAATTGCACCACTATCAATTTTCTCAAAAATATTTGAAAAAGTTATTCATGGTCAGCTTTACGCATTTTTGGAAAAAGATAACATTTGAAACAAAGAGCAAAAATGATTTCACAAAAATACTACAATCGCAACAGCAATACACGACTTAGTAAAAAGATCTATGTTTTGTTTGGATATAAGGATCCCATCATGTGCAATTTATATATTGCTGGAAAAACTAAGCCGTTATGGTGTAAGAGGTAATGCACTGAATTTAATAAAGTCCTATTTAACAGATAGGACACAAAAAACTGTAATCAGTCAGATCTGTATCTCTACAAGCCAAGAAAAAATATATACGTCTAATAATAGAATGATTAAGCATGGGGTTTCTCGGGTAGTGTCTTGGGTCCTCTGCTCTTTATAATATACGGTAATGATATTGTTGAGTCTTGTACATACCCAATGATAATACTATTTGCAGACGATAGCACTATTTTTATACAGTGTAACAGCGTAGTAGAATATCAAAATACTAACTTTGCTATTGAAATTATTATGAAATAGTTAAAATCAAATAATCTAAATGTTAATTTAGACAAAACAAAAATTATGCAATTTACACAAAGAAAAAGTACCCCAAATCAAACGTTAAGTTATGGGAATAAAACAATTTCTGAAACAAAAGTAGCTGAGTTCTTAGGGCTATTTATAGATAGCAACATGTAGCGGGAATCGCAATCAACAGAAGTCTGCAAAAAATTTATAAATTTTTATTTTCAAATAAATTACCCGTCAAATAAATGGTTTAATGTGCAAAATATTCCTTCCATCTTTTAGACTCAACACTTTATTATTCAGAATACAGCCATTCTCACCTCGTATAGTATTCAATCTAGACGGGATATTTGGAATATCCCCTGGTACTCCTTACAGAGTTTCCAGAACATTTTAATATTTGCCTGGAAGTTATCAGATATTCTTCTATCATTCTTATCCGTCATTTTTTTCTTTTCCTTTCAACTACTTCTTTTACTCTCTTATTTAAATCTCTAAAGGCTGCCTTTTTTCTTTCAATATCATCATTCGTACCCAAAGAATTACCAGCCTTTGTTGCCAGTAAATCTAGCCATGCTCTCTTCTTTGCTTCAATTTCCATACGTTCCTCATCATCTCACCATAACGTATTATTTTTCCTTTTATTCGTTCTCTTACTAATAACAACATACTTCGATAGCTGCATCCACTAAACCTTTCTTAACCTTTCTTAACATTTTGCCATACATTCTCCAAGTCTAACTCATTCATACATAAATCATCCAAACCACTTATATTTTCTTTCAGTCTACATTTGTACTTATTTTTCTCACCTTCATTTTGTAACCTTTTTGTTCCAATACGCTGCAAAGCAGTGTAGACCATTAATTCGGCATAAAACCAAATAATGATTCGTTCCTACGTTGCACCCCCGGTAAACCCCTGTATCTACCACTGCGCTCCTCATTTTTGTCCACAATTATGAAATCTATCATGCTTTTGTCATCACCTCTTTCCAAAGTATACATGTGACTCCTTTTGTGGCGAAAGAAAGTGTTCGTCACTAAAAGATTCATCTCCACACATATGGTGAACAGGCTTTCACCATTCTCATTTATACTTTCATCATCAAACATTCCCAATATCCTTTCATAACCAAGCCTCTTGACCAACCCTTCCATTAGACTTTCCTAACATAACAATGTTTTTATTACCCTCACATTTCAGTAACAGCATCCTTACCATTTTCTAAAACTGCTCTCGGATATAAGTGGACTTAGACATGTCTGGGGCATAGATCCCAGCACAAACAACTTCTTTAAGCCCACTTTCATTCGTATCCATAGTCCATATCATCCATATCCACTGTCTCGGGCTCATTCATACTCTTTCACACATTGGCCTATTCTTTCTGAAAGGATGATACCTACCTTCTGGCATGCTCGCTCGGTCTCGTCTAGACCAGACCAGTATGCGGAGCAGTAACTTGGCCGTTTTTTGTTGATTTTTGTTTCTATTATAATACATTGATCTCTTAATTAAAACAAGTGGTTGATCTATCTGTACAAAGAAACACTATTGGTCCATTTTATTACCAGAATCAGAACCTAAATCAAAAACATTAATGAAAACTGTTTGGGATGTAAGAACGAGAACACAAGTGAAACAAATTCTACTAGAAATAAGAAGAGCACTGTGAGGAAAGGACAATAATGGTGCGAAGACAAACCATGTGGAGAACATCATTATTTGTCTCACATTGAGATTAAAGAATTATTTAATATTATAAAATGTTGTTAATTACAAACACAGAAATTAGGCCTGTTAATTAAGTGTAGGAGAAACCATAGAGGCCCTATGTCTGACAGTGGAACATAAAAGAATCTCATGTTCGATCAATGACTATCTAACTTATTGTGTAACAGTGAAATCCGTCTAGCCCTCTAAACAGCAAAGGTGCAAAATTTCAAAGCTGTCCATCACCTGTTGCTGTTGCTGCTGTTGTTGTTGCTGCTGCTGCTGCTGCTGTTGTTGCTGCTGTTGCTGCTGCTGCAGCAGGAATTGCTGCTCCTCGGGGCGTATCTTCTTGGGGCGGCCGCGCTTCTTCTTGGGCGGCTGGTCGGGCGCGGCGGGGTCGTGGACGGGCGGAGGGCGCGGCGCTCGCGGCGCGCGGGGTGTGGGCGGCGGCGCCTCACCATTCTCCAGTTTCACCTTCTTGGGTCGCCCGCGTTTCTTCTTCAGCGGCACCTCCGTCCCGTCCTCCAGGATTATTGTGTCTCCGGGCTCCGGTTCCATTGTTAATCTGAAATGAAACCTGCAAGTGTAAACCTAATTCTGAAGCGTTACGAATGACTTAAGAAATGGAGGAATAGAATACTATAATTTATATATTTTATACTGAGACTCACGGCATCATTTATAATGTAAAAAAGTGATGCATTGCTATTTCAAGCTGGATAAAAAATTAAAACGATTCCACCTGTTAAATTAAGGAACGTACAGTTAAATAGGGTGTACCAGTTTAGGTATCTTGGTCACATTTTAACTGAAGATCTGACTGATGATACGGACATAGAAAGAGAAAGAAGGGCATTGGCGGTTCGCTGTAACATGCTATTCCGTAGCTTTGCACGCTGTACAGATGAAGTTAAGATAACACTTTTCAAAGCCTTTTGTCAGTCGTTTTACACGTGCAGTCTATGGGTTAGGTATACGCAGAGAGCCTACAATGCCCTTCGGGTACAATATAATAATGCCTTACTATTTTACTGCTGTTTATAGCGTACGGTACGGACGGTTTTCATGCCATTATTCGAAAGATAATATCATCCCTCATGCGCAGGGATGATATTCTATTTCATTTTTTTTCGTGGGAGCTCCAATAGCATTCTGAGGGCAATATCTGATAGATTTGATTGTCTCATCCTGGGGGGCCGAAAATAAAAATAATTGTTATCAAAATTGTGTGTGCGATAATTTAGGACTAACATAGGTTAAGCTAATTTACTAACATAATTATGGACTATATATATCGAAGCCTTAATCGCGCTATCAAGTTCCGAATCAAAAACAGTATATATATAGAATAGCTCCGAACTACCACTCGGAGCGTTGGCCGCTCCCCGGGCAGAACACCTTGTCCGGCGGTAGATCTCACCTTTTCCTTCCACCGCCAAACTGCTGATCGCCCAACGTGATGTGAACATGCAACCAACAACCTTCGGATACTACAACTTCAAATATTCATTATTATCCTCAAGAACCTCTACATGCGCTCACGAGCAGTCCGCAGTCTTCATATCTTGCAAGCCATCTAACTTTACAAGGTTCATCGCAGCACTGGAGTAATAAACTTCCTGTTCCCTCAAGCTACTCTCTGCGCTATACAATGTTCGGCACGGCTCTGAGCCTTACTGCTCGCCACTGCTTCAAGGCACTCTCGCAGATTAGTTGCCTTCTTCTCGACTCACCGCAGACTACAAGACAATGCTCTGGCACTTGCCACATATCTATACAGTTTTCTCATCTGGTTGGGTTCTACAAATATATAATTGTAAATGAAAATGATAAATATACATAAATATTAATAAAATAAAATAAATACATAAATAAATAAAAACCCAACCAGATGGAAGCCCTCGGCAGGGAAGACCGGAACTGGAACTGCCGAGTATCGAGGAGTACCGCCTTCTGCATTTGAGCTCGGAGCGGTCCGTCGAGAGGCGGACTGGGACCCGTTTGCAGAAACGACTACATGTATAATTTCGGTCGACAGCCCATCCCACATGTCGGTCACCCCGTGAGCCAACTCCAGATATTTTTTTCGTTTGGCATGAATGGCAATGTTAACCAATAATAACCTTGACTGTGCCCAGTCCATCAGCACAATTTCAGGCTTATTAGCAAGAATAGTCCTGTCTGTGATGATGGCCCGGTCCCAGTAAAGCCTGGCGCGGTCATTTTCAAGCACAACTTCCGGCAAGTACTTGTAACATTGCAATTTCCGGTCCACGAGACCGTATTTCAGAGCGAGCTCCTGGTGAAGAATTCTGGCTACTAGGTTGTGCCAGAGTTAGAAAGCGCCGAACAAACGCAGATGACATGTCTAAGTGACTCACCTGGATGGCGACAAGCTCGACAGATGTCGACGGTGCCATCTCTTATATATATATAAATAATAATAATAATAAAAGGCGTAGGGAAGTGACGATCCCATCGCCCGCTGACGTAACAGTTATGTGACAAAACTGCGACGTCGGCGCAGTCAGTCAGCATCCTGCCAAGAGGTGTGAGCGCCGTGCCTAGGCAAAATTGTAGATGCAAAGGTCCGTTTGTGCATATGACCCAACCACGAAACGGTGCCGGGCTTGGGCGTCTCCCGTTATTTGGCGCCCATAAAATGGATGATGGAAGAAACACAAAAAGGAACGCGCATAGGGCCGCTGCCTGGGGGTCGCCGGGGCGCGTCTGGAGCTGGCGCTGGACGCGGCAGCATGCGGGCCGCCAGCCGAGCGCGAGGAGCTGCACGATCACCTAGCAGCCCCTCGCATCCATCATCCCCACCAGAAGGCTTGGTGTCGGCTGGGTCTTCTCGGACCCAGCAAGCGGCACCCGCCGCTGGTGGAGCACGTCGCATGCGTTGGACAAAATCCATGAACGAAAACGCATTGCGGGCGTACTATAGGGCGAAAGGGGAAGAAACTGTGGGAATAGCGTATAGGTCTCGGATGAATTGCTTTTTTGCTGAGCTGGAACCGTTTATCCCCATCACGGAACAAAACCTGGCAGACCGAGTTCGGTACATCATGCGCTCGAAAATATTTGATGATGCCGAACTCGAACGACTACGACGTGAGGCTATTCCGTCGTCGAATGAATCGGCTATGGCTGGAGATGCAGCTCCACATTCGACAGACCAGCATCCACACGTGGAAGCCGCCATGGATCTTCCAGTTGTGGTTGATTCGAACGACGATGAAATAGTCTCCCACGAACTAGAGCAAATGAGGAGTATATTGGAAGAGGCGATTTCGGAAACGCGCGGCACCCCTCTCGAAAATCGACCGCGACTTCCCCCGCATACCCTTAAGCAAGCGAAATCGGGCTGTCGTGAGGGCTCTTAACCCAATGCTGGTGACCTATTTGGAAGCCAGCCGGGACCTTTGCGAGACGGACTCGATTCTTTTTGGCGCCGCAGTGGTAGTTTGCCGTATTATTGGCGCCAAACTTCGCATGGCTGGACGCGCTACTACACAAAGTAACGCCATCCCAGCCTGGAGGAAAAGAATCGAGGACCGTATCGCAAAGGCAAGGGCCCTTATCGGCAGACTGACAAGCTTCAGGTCGGGTAATAATAGACCGAGGATTATGCGCACCGTTAGGATGGCGTTTGCTGGGACAAATATCAGTTTGTCCCAGCCGGATATCACGCAGAAACTAACGGAGCGCATAGACGACCTGAAGCAAAAGATCGCTGCTTGGGGGAAGCGGATTCGACGATTTTCCGAGGGGTCAAGGCGGTTCAACCAGAATCGTCTCTTCCAGAGTGATCAGAAGAGGCTCTATAAATTATTGGAGCGACCAAAGGTATGTGGAGCGGGCCAAGGACCGGATCAGGCTGACATTATCGCATTCTGGCGTGGCCTGTGGTCAGAGCCCGTAAACCACAGTGAGGGCCCTTGGATGGAAGTTGTGGCGAGCCAGGGTGCGAGTGTTACGCCTATGGACCCCATCACCATAACGCCAGAAGACGTGGCTGAGGCGGTCCGTAGGGCCCCGAACTGGAAAAGTCCGGGGCTCGACAGGCTGCATCATTACTGGCTGAAGGGGTTCGTAATGTGTCACGCTGTGCTCGCCCGACAGTTTGAAGAGGCTCTCGACCAGAAGTCACTCCCGAGCCTCTTCACTACTGGGATCACTCACTTGGTTCCTAAAGATCAGGATACCACAGACCCGAGCAAATACCGCCCTATCACGTGTCTACCCACCATATATAAGACACTGACATCCATTTTGAGCGCGAGAATCACTCGTCACCTGGAGCTAAACCAGGTGATGTCACGCGCTCAAAATGGATGTCGGGGCGGTGGTCGTGGAACTAAGGAACCACTCCTCATTGACGCGGTCATAGGCAAAGTGGTGAAACGCAACCGTCGGAACTTCTCTGCCGCCTGGATAGACTACAGAAAGGCATTCGACTCGGTGCCCCATACATGGCTAAAGAGGGTCCTCGAGCTGTACAAGATTGACTGTATAGTTAGAGACTTCCTCGAGCAGTGTATGGGGCAGTGGAGTACGATCCTTTGTCATCTGGGCGAGCAGATGACGGCTGCGGAGAACCACATAAGGATAAGAAGGGGTATCTTCCAGGGCGATTGTCTGAGTCCAATCTGGTTCTGCCTCTCTCTTAACCCTCTCAGTACCTTACTGGAGGGCTCCGGGAGGGGATTTCAGCTACGGAAAGGAGGAACAAAAGTGACCCACCTTTTCTATATGGATGACCTCAAGTTATTCGCCTCCAGTCGCTCCCATCTTATGGAACTGCTAAACATCACTTGTGAATTTAGCAGTTCCATTGGAATGGAGCTGGGGACGGATAAGTGTGCGGTCCTCCATGTTGAAAGGGGAAGGGTTGCTAACTCTGAGGGCATAGACTTGTCTATGCCGGTCAACTTAAGGACCCTTTCCGAGGCTGAAACATACCGATACCTGGGTATGTCACAGAACATCGGTATCGATGAGGCTGGTATGAAACAGTCAGTGTGCGTCCGGTGTGAATAAGACACACGCATATAACGGCTGGTTCATGCCTGTCCTCATGTATACCTTTGGCATACTCAGGTGGACTCAGACTGAGCTTAACGCCCTGGATAGAAAAGTCCGCACTACCATGACGTCCCATAGGATGCATCATCCGAGATCGTCGGTAATGAGGCTGTACTTGCCGCGAAAGTATGGTGGGCGTGGCTTTCTGAGCGCGCTCACCATGCATAATCGCGAAGTGTGCAGTTTCCGTCAGTACTTCTTGGCGAGATCGGATGATCCATTCTATAATGACGTCATTTCTAGTGATAAAGGGCTTACCCCTCTATCCTTAGCCAACGAGCAATGGCAGGACCCAGCAGTGCTTAGCAATTCCGACCGGGAGACCGTATGGAAGGAGAAGGAGCTCCACGGGAGGTACTACAAGGCTCTACATGAGCCCTTCGTAGATACAGTCGCCTCCCTCAACTGGCTACGTTTCGGTGACCTCTTCGGGGAAACCGAGGGTTTTGTCTGTGCAATACAGGATCAGGTTATTAA